TTCCGAAAGTATTCGAAAACCTTTCCGTTGGTATTCGGAAACCTTTCTGTAAGTATTCGGAAACCTTTCCGGAAGTATTCGGAAACCTCTCCGGAAGTATTCGAAAACCTTTCCGGAAGTACTTGGAAACCTCTCCGGAAGTATTTGGAAATCTTTCCGGAAGTATTGGAAACCTTTCAGGAAGAAAGCCTTTATTTATCTTTCTTAATCCGGTTTCGGAGTAATTACCACGTCTTTCGTTTTTTCAAAAGTAATTTCTCGTTGCAGTGGCCATATTGAAAACTGTAATATAACGGATTTCAACTAAAATATCATGTGATTAGACAAGTAATGGCAGCGCTACCCGGGGGATACTTTTTCATCATTATCGATAAGACCATCAACAAAAGCCCTTCACAATGCCTTTATCATCAGTCTAAACTATGGAACTAATTATAAGGCAGGTCTAAAACAGGGTACTAATTTTAAATAGAGTATCGAATTTTTGGTCAGGTCATTAATAGGGATAGGAAAAATCATAGATTTAGGTCTTAAATAGCGTAAGGGATTTGGGAAGCAGGCTGCACACCCCCACCCAATAGGCCCTTTGTACGATGCGGTCACATGGTACAAAATCACACATGATGGGACGCAAGTTGCCCAGTGGGACTTCCAAAAGAAAGGAACTCGTACCAGTCCACCCTGACCTACTTTTATTTTGGAAGTCCCACTGTGCAACTTACGTCCCAGCATGTCTGATTTTGTACCATGTGACCGGGTCGTGCAAAGGGTCTATTTTTCTGGAAGTACCCTCGGAAAGTGCGGACGCCGTTTTCGTTTCAGGAAAAATATTCTCTGCTCATTTACCTGAATATGGTGTCCCGGCCGAGCCTCATGGGAATTGATACTCCACTCAGAAAACTTAGGTCCTAACTTGGCCAAGAAGAACGGAATGTTGTAATGCGCCGGCTTTAAACACATTGGGTCACTTCCGTCGTAGCTCTGAATACCGCTGGACGGGTTCAGGTCAGGTCTTAATTCAACTGGACAGTTGGGTGTGGAGTGTTTATCTCCAGCGAAGTGGAACATGTCAGTTATTTTAGGATATAACATGCTCATTACCTTAAAAAGAGGAACGTTTCCGTTGTAAATCACTATCAAAAATTAGTAGAATTCTACTAGTACACTAATGCAAATGCTGTAATCTGATTGGCTGAGCCATTGAACACTATCAGCTATTAGTGTGCAGTGGTTGGAGGTCGTCTAGGAAATGGCGACGTTTTTCTCTCGATTTCTCATAGAAATCTCGAGCTCATAATCTAATTGTTAATTATAGTTCACCACTAAATTTTCTCTGATTCTTATTGGTTTAAAATGATCATGTGACGCGATAGTGTTCGTCAGCGTAGAGACACTACTATCTGCCCATCGCGCCCGTCCGAGGAAAATACACGGATGGAGGGTACTAGCTTATTAAAAACAAATGAAGGACGCAATATGTCTTTTATTTTTCAAATTTTAAAGTCGGCTTTCACGTCTTTCACCTAAAAAAGTTCAAAATAATTCAATGTGATTTTTGAACTGGTGCGCGGACGAAAATTTGGTGGTGAACAATAATGAAAATAATGAGTGTTTATGTCTCGGAACTATCGGTCTGATAGTTGCCCCTTGGAAATTTGATGTTTTTAAGCTAGCATATTTAACCTCGAAGCTTCGCGTCCTGGGCAAATATTTGTTTTAAGAACATCAAATTTTCGCGGGGCAACTATCAGCCGATGGTTCCTCGACAGAAATACTCTACTGTTCGGATAATAACTTATACAGCCTGATCCTCTATTTTTTAAGACACCGATTTTCTAGTTAGACAGCTGATATAAAGAACATGATATATTTACCATTCTGGCCTCCTTGAACCAACTTTGAATAGCCTTCCATCTCGTTGGACAATATTTCTTTGCCGCGTCAATACTGCTGCATAGCTCGTGTGCTTTAGAATCAGATTCGTTCTCAGGAAATGCCTCATCATTGAAGTAGTTATCAGAGGAGTCTAACTTTTTTCTGAATTGTTTGATGGCTTCTGTTTCGTTGGTTTCTCCAGTATCCCCCTTAGCTGCTTCCACGGCCTAAGAAGAAACGAAGACGAAAAATGGTTTTGGTGTGTCTTAGGGTGTTTGAACTCAAAAGGTCCACAGCGGGAGCTTTGCGGTACCTGGAGGCGCAAAAAATTGCAGAGTTGGAGGAGAGGCAGCGCACGTGACAGGAAACGAAACGCGCTGCTCAAAATAAGGTCAAGTGGCGGGTTGTTGTGGACGAGTTATGTTCCATCAGGAACGAAGATGATTGTGTGTGGAGTGATTCTAGGGATTAAGCCGAAAAAAAATATGACAGGAGATAATGTGTTGTTTTAGAATTGGTAACTCTTAAGGGTGAAAAACGTTCAAGCTACGCCCACAAAACAAGATTTTGGCACCTCTTAGGGGTTCTTTTCAAAATTTCCGACGATAACCCCCTCCTTTTTATATGGGAGTTCTTACCCCGGCGGATGGGCCATCCGCTTCGTTAACAAGGGTGGTCTACTTTACAACAATAACAACATTGTACCTACCAGCGGGTAAAGCTTATCTAACTGCTCCCTTCCTACATCTTGTACTTGCTTCGGTGTCATGTCATTTGTCGTGAAATAAGGTAATATCATAGCGTACGCCTTTTTCCCATCCAACTTATCGCCGGTAGATAATGTTGTGTTCGTCGGCCAAGAGGTATTTTCTACGCCATCAACCCAAACATGTGCGAGTGGCAGAGAGGCAAACCCGCTTGAAAAATTACTTGGGACACAAAAGCGGTAATGCTCGTGTTCTAGATACCTATCAACAAAAAGAAATGTTAGTTATGAAAAAAGGCCGCTCTCGGTCAGTTTCTTTGGAACAAAATGATATCAAAGCTTCATGGAGGGTAATATTGCGGAGATTGCTCTAAAATTTGCAGGTATGGAAAGAGAATGGGTAAGTCGCGAATAAATGAAAAGCAATTTGGCGGGAGATGTCCGGGAAAAAGGGAGTGAAACTCGGGGGAGAGAACAAGAAAACTGAAAGAATTAAAGTGAGAATGAAAACTGTGAAAAGAGATGCAAATATTGCAAAAATTTAAATTAAATTAAATTAAATTAAATTGGCAAAGAAGTCGGATGAAAACCGGCATAAGAATGACCTCTCCAGTTTAGATAATGCAAAAGGGCGAAGAAAATGCAGCCGAAGGATGGTTCCATATAACGCTGCTAATCTCCTCCGCAGCCGTCTTTTGGGATGTCACGCAACGCTCCGCCCAAAGGAATGTGGTTCGGATATGGACAGCCATTTCTTTGGGAAAACGTTGCGTAACATCCCTAATAACGGCCGAGGAGGAGACTAGAGACTAGTGTCAATGGTCAGTAGTCATGGCAACGGGTTTGCCCAAGATTTCAGAAAATATCATAAGAGTCATTTGCGCCAATAGCTACGTGAAAATATTAAACACAGTTTGAGAAACGCACTTACTAAGGTCTGACCTCGTCAATAGTACCTTAGCAGCTGGTTCATTGGTTTTCCCATATATTCCACCAGGTAGTCACTCATAGATTGCTTTACGGTTTTACCAGTTTGATCTTTCCACTGGTTCTTCATGTCGTCTGTTATGTCAGAATAGTAATCATCATTCAAAGCAACTTTAACGTAGTCCTCGTCCAAAACACCTGGAAATTAGGAATTGTAAATTGTAACTGGACGTAGCTTATTTGCACAGGAAAATATTCTGAACTAAAATTGAGTTATTTCTCCCTATTCCAAGGTCTTTCATTGAGTATTTCGCATATCCGCCCTCAAGCTGGAATTTGGGAAGAAGCGATTATGGGAAGAAGCGAGCCAGGAAGCTGAAAGGAGTAGGAAAACTCAGGAAACAGATAAGTCATTGCTGCACACTGGGTGAGAGGTGAGAGGCAAGGGGTGAGATGGGGGGGAGGAAGGGGCGTTGGGGGAATGTAAGGCCAATGTTCGCAGGCATGAAAACTAAGATGGGTCGCACCTAGCAACTGTAGTTTACCACGTGACAGACAAGACCGCTGTAAACGTCGTCACATAGACGTCGAAGTTAAATCGTCCTCTGGAAGTGAACACTAAAATTCGTCACATGAGCGCGAAAGAGAGTTTACAAAGAGCTGAAAGCTTATCAGGAGAAACACACCACCGAGGCTTCCAAACGAGCTAAACCAGTTTAAAAAATTGCACAAGTTGCTTAGTGATTGACAAAGTAAATTACAATGACGAAACTGCGCATGTCGGAATGGGAAGGGTATGCGTGTGTAGGCAAATATGCATATATCACTAGTCAGTTATGCGTCATAAAAGCATCTTGAGAGGTACTTGGGTCAGAAGAAGTCAAATGGGCCAGTGCAAACTTCCGTTTTGACCTCCTCATGACCCAAGTATTTGTTCTTGGGACTCCGCGGATCGGATAAAAAGGCTAAAATTGCGCACCTGTCTCGTTCTTTAAAGCGATATTCAGATATTTCCTCTTGAGTGCATCTCGTCCGGAGACACAAGCCTCTTGACTGTAAACCATTCCGTGAAGTTTTCCCATTTTCAAATTTTCCATGTACCTCAGAATTCCCTCCTTGTGGACTTTCATCTTGCTCTCTATCAGTTCAACGTCTTTCAGGTTCTCAGGCTTTAGACTTCCTAGCATTGCTTTCAAATCGCTACCAATGTTGCAGATTGGTTGTTTGCAGTAGAAAGTCGGACCCATCATCCAGTCACCAGCATAAAAATTCATATCAAAAGGTTGTCCGAATACCGTTTTCAAATAATGCTTCAGCTGCGATATCGCTTTTCGTTCCCGTGGTTTCAGTTTGTTAGAGTCCATTTCTGTTTCGTTCACTTGCTTAAAGAGATCCCAGGCCGCATCTGTGACACTTCTGATGTAGTCAGGAGTTGGATTGTAGGCGCTGTACTTTTCCTTTATGTCCTCGCGTTTTGCATCGGGATCATCCGGTAATTTAAAAGGCAGCTTCTCATAGTAAGCGTTCTTCGCGCGTAAAATGATATCGTCGAGACCGATCCGTTTTGCCTCTTCGGAATACTCACAAAACGATGAAGACACTTGCTCTTCCGTGCTACCTTTATTTCCGTTTTCTTCTCCCTTGCAATCCTTCTTTTTGCCAGCAAGAGCAATCAGCACTATTCCCACGATCAAAATTANTCCCGCGAGGTACAACCCGTCCCGTCATTTGGAAAGCATTCACTCACCTGCCACTTCAACATGCCGTATTTCTTCATTGGTTCGCCGTCGTAAACATCTGTATCATCTGATATTAATGGGTTCTCAGCGTAAAGACCCCAGCCTTCCAAAAAGGCCGTGTAATATGTTTTGGAATCTAACCAGCCAATCAGACCGCCACAAGTGTCCCTAAAATGTTCCCTGGTTCCTTGGATCTGAAATGAGAGAAAACATCACTATCACGATCAATTCCGAAAGTATTCGAAAACCTTTCCGTTGGTATTCGGAAACCTTTCTGTAAGTATTCGGAAACCTTTCCGGAAGTATTCGGAAACCTCTCCGGAAGTATTCGAAAACCTTTCCGGAAGTACTTGGAAACCTCTCCGGAAGTATTTGGAAATCTTTCCGGAAGTATTGGAAACCTTTCAGGAAGAAAGCCTTTATTTATCTTTCTTAATCCGGTTTCGGAGTAATTACCACGTCTTTCGTTTTTTCAAAAGTAATTTCTCGTTGCAGTGGCCATATTGAAAACTGTAATATAACGGATTTCAACTAAAATATCATGTGATTAGACAAGTAATGGCAGCGCTACCCGGGGGATACTTTTTCATCATTATCGATAAGACCATCAACAAAAGCCCTTCACAATGCCTTTATCATCAGTCTAAACTATGGAACTAATTATAAGGCAGGTCTAAAACAGGGTACTAATTTTAAATAGAGTATCGAATTTTTGGTCAGGTCATTAATAGGGATAGGAAAAATCATAGATTTAGGTCTTAAATAGCGTAAGGGATTTGGGAAGCAGGCTGCACACCCCCACCCAATAGGCCCTTTGTACGATGCGGTCACATGGTACAAAATCACACATGATGGGACGCAAGTTGCCCAGTGGGACTTCCAAAAGAAAGGAACTCGTACCAGTCCACCCTGACCTACTTTTATTTTGGAAGTCCCACTGTGCAACTTACGTCCCAGCATGTCTGATTTTGTACCATGTGACCGGGTCGTGCAAAGGGTCTATTTTTCTGGAAGTACCCTCGGAAAGTGCGGACGCCGTTTTCGTTTCAGGAAAAATATTCTCTGCTCATTTACCTGAATATGGTGTCCCGGCCGAGCCTCATGGGAATTGATACTCCACTCAGAAAACTTAGGTCCTAACTTGGCCAAGAAGAACGGAATGTTGTAATGCGCCGGCTTTAAACACATTGGGTCACTTCCGTCGTAGCTCTGAATACCGCTGGACGGGTTCAGGTCAGGTCTTAATTCAACTGGACAGTTGGGTGTGGAGTGTTTATCTCCAGCGAAGTGGAACATGTCAGTTATTTTAGGATATAACATGCTCATTACCTTAAAAAGAGGAACGTTTCCGTTGTAAATCACTATCAAAAATTAGTAGAATTCTACCAGTACACTAATGCAAATGCTGTAATCTGATTGGCTGAGCCATTGAACACTATCAGCTATTAGTGTGCAGTGGTTGGAGGTCGTCTAGGAAATGGCGACGTTTTTCTCTCGATTTCTCATAGAAATCTCGAGCTCATAATCTAATTGTTAATTATAGTTCACCACTAAATTTTCTCTGATTCTTATTGGTTTAAAATGATCATGTGACGCGATAGTGTTCGTCAGCGTAGAGACACTACTATCTGCCCATCGCGCCCGTCCGAGGAAAATACACGGATGGAGGGTACTAGCTTATTAAAAACAAATGAAGGACGCAATATGTCTTTTATTTTTCAAATTTTAAAGTCGGCTTTCACGTCTTTCACCTAAAAAAGTTCAAAATAATTCAATGTGATTTTTGAACTGGTGCGCGGACGAAAATTTGGTGGTGAACAATAATGAAAATAATGAGTGTTTATGTCTCGGAACTATCGGTCTGATAGTTGCCCCTTGGAAATTTGATGTTTTTAAGCTAGCATATTTAACCTCGAAGCTTCGCGTCCTGGGCAAATATTTGTTTTAAGAACATCAAATTTTCGCGGGGCAACTATCAGCCGATGGTTCCTCGACAGAAATACTCTACTGTTCGGATAATAACTTATACAGCCTGATCCTCTATTTTTTAAGACACCGATTTTCTAGTTAGACAGCTGATATAAAGAACATGATATATTTACCATTCTGGCCTCCTTGAACCAACTTTGAATAGCCTTCCATCTCGTTGGACAATATTTCTTTGCCGCGTCAATACTGCTGCATAGCTCGTGTGCTTTAGAATCAGATTCGTTCTCAGGAAATGCCTCATCATTGAAGTAGTTATCAGAGGAGTCTAACTTTTTTCTGAATTGTTTGATGGCTTCTGTTTCGTTGGTTTCTCCAGTATCCCCCTTAGCTGCTTCCACGGCCTAAGAAGAAACGAAGACGAAAAATGGTTTTGGTGTGTCTTAGGGTGTTTGAACTCAAAAGGTCCACAGCGGGAGCTTTGCGGTACCTGGAGGCGCAAAAAATTGCAGAGTTGGAGGAGAGGCAGCGCACGTGACAGGAAACGAAACGCGCTGCTCAAAATAAGGTCAAGTGGCGGGTTGTTGTGGACGAGTTATGTTCCATCAGGAACGAAGATGATTGTGTGTGGAGTGATTCTAGGGATTAAGCCGAAAAAAAATATGACAGGAGATAATGTGTTGTTTTAGAATTGGTAACTCTTAAGGGTGAAAAACGTTCAAGCTACGCCCACAAAACAAGATTTTGGCACCTCTTAGGGGTTCTTTTCAAAATTTCCGACGATAACCCCCTCCTTTTTATATGGGAGTTCTTACCCCGGCGGATGGGCCATCCGCTTCGTTAACAAGGGTGGTCTACTTTACAACAATAACAACATTGTACCTACCAGCGGGTAAAGCTTATCTAACTGCTCCCTTCCTACATCTTGTACTTGCTTCGGTGTCATGTCATTTGTCGTGAAATAAGGTAATATCATAGCGTACGCCTTTTTCCCATCCAACTTATCGCCGGTAGATAATGTTGTGTTCGTCGGCCAAGAGGTATTTTCTACGCCATCAACCCAAACATGTGCGAGTGGCAGAGAGGCAAACCCGCTTGAAAAATTACTTGGGACACAAAAGCGGTAATGCTCGTGTTCTAGATACCTATCAACAAAAAGAAATGTTAGTTATGAAAAAAGGCCGCTCTCGGTCAGTTTCTTTGGAACAAAATGATATCAAAGCTTCATGGAGGGTAATATTGCGGAGATTGCTCTAAAATTTGCAGGTATGGAAAGAGAATGGGTAAGTCGCGAATAAATGAAAAGCAATTTGGCGGGAGATGTCCGGGAAAAAGGGAGTGAAACTCGGGGGAGAGAACAAGAAAACTGAAAGAATTAAAGTGAGAATGAAAACTGTGAAAAGAGATGCAAATATTGCAAAAATTTAAATTAAATTAAATTAAATTAAATTGGCAAAGAAGTCGGATGAAAACCGGCATAAGAATGACCTCTCCAGTTTAGATAATGCAAAAGGGCGAAGAAAATGCAGCCGAAGGATGGTTCCATATAACGCTGCTAATCTCCTCCGCAGCCGTCTTTTGGGATGTCACGCAACGCTCCGCCCAAAGGAATGTGGTTCGGATATGGACAGCCATTTCTTTGGGAAAACGTTGCGTAACATCCCTAATAACGGCCGAGGAGGAGACTAGAGACTAGTGTCAATGGTCAGTAGTCATGGCAACGGGTTTGCCCAAGATTTCAGAAAATATCATAAGAGTCATTTGCGCCAATAGCTACGTGAAAATATTAAACACAGTTTGAGAAACGCACTTACTAAGGTCTGACCTCGTCAATAGTACCTTAGCAGCTGGTTCATTGGTTTTCCCATATATTCCACCAGGTAGTCACTCATAGATTGCTTTACGGTTTTACCAGTTTGATCTTTCCACTGGTTCTTCATGTCGTCTGTTATGTCAGAATAGTAATCATCATTCAAAGCAACTTTAACGTAGTCCTCGTCCAAAACACCTGGAAATTAGGAATTGTAAATTGTAACTGGACGTAGCTTATTTGCACAGGAAAATATTCTGAACTAAAATTGAGTTATTTCTCCCTATTCCAAGGTCTTTCATTGAGTATTTCGCATATCCGCCCTCAAGCTGGAATTTGGGAAGAAGCGATTATGGGAAGAAGCGAGCCAGGAAGCTGAAAGGAGTAGGAAAACTCAGGAAACAGATAAGTCATTGCTGCACACTGGGTGAGAGGTGAGAGGCAAGGGGTGAGATGGGGGGGAGGAAGGGGCGTTGGGGGAATGTAAGGCCAATGTTCGCAGGCATGAAAACTAAGATGGGTCGCACCTAGCAACTGTAGTTTACCACGTGACAGACAAGACCGCTGTAAACGTCGTCACATAGACGTCGAAGTTAAATCGTCCTCTGGAAGTGAACACTAAAATTCGTCACATGAGCGCGAAAGAGAGTTTACAAAGAGCTGAAAGCTTATCAGGAGAAACACACCACCGAGGCTTCCAAACGAGCTAAACCAGTTTAAAAAATTGCACAAGTTGCTTAGTGATTGACAAAGTAAATTACAATGACGAAACTGCGCATGTCGGAATGGGAAGGGTATGCGTGTGTAGGCAAATATGCATATATCACTAGTCAGTTATGCGTCATAAAAGCATCTTGAGAGGTACTTGGGTCAGAAGAAGTCAAATGGGCCAGTGCAAACTTCCGTTTTGACCTCCTCATGACCCAAGTATTTGTTCTTGGGACTCCGCGGATCGGATAAAAAGGCTAAAATTGCGCACCTGTCTCGTTCTTTAAAGCGATATTCAGATATTTCCTCTTGAGCGCATCTCGTCCAGAGACGCAAGCCTCTTGACTGTAAACCATTCCGTGAAGTTTTCCCATTTTCAAATTTTCCATGTACTTCAGAATTCCCTCCTTGTGGACTTTCATCTTGTTCTCTATCAGTTCAACGTCTTTCAGGTTCTCAGGCTTAAGACTTCCCAGCATTGCTTTCAAATCGCTACCAATGTTGCAGATTGGTTGTTTGCAGTAGAAAGTCGGACCCATCATCCAGTCACCAGCATAAAAATTCATATCAAAAGGTTGTCCGAATACCGTTTTCAAATAATGCTTCAGCTGCGATATCGCTTTTCGTTCCCGTGGTTTCAGTTTGTTAGAGTCCATTTCTGTTTCGTTCACTTGCTTAAAGAGATCCCAGGCCGCATCTGTGACACTTCTGATGTAGTCAGGAGTTGGATTGTAGGCGCTGTACTTTTCCTTTATGTCCTCGCGTTTTGCATCGGGATCATCCGGTAATTTAAAAGGCAGCTTCTCATAGTAAGCGTTCTTCGCGCGTAAAATGATATCGTCGAGACCGATCCGTTTTGCCTCTTCGGAATACTCACAAAACGATGAAGACACTTGCTCTTCCGTGCTACCTTTATTTCCGTTTTCTTCTCCCTTGCAATCCTTCTTTTTGCCAGCAAGAGCAATCAGCACTATTCCCACGATCAAAATTATAACTGCAATTATAGCGAAAATGATTAACAGGATCCGAGCCTTGGAGAAGGCGTACTTGTTCCCTTTAAAAGCTGGGCTTCCTTCGTCCATCATTTGACTTTTCTCTTCTGTCATACCTGCAGTATGGGATCAATGACGAACCTTGTTAGTGGAAGTCTGTATTTTAAAGTAATATAGAAGGACCCCGATTATAGCCGTCGGGATTCCGTCCATTCGCAATACACGTTAGTTACCTAAAATATCCAGAACATGGTTTTCTCAGTCACGTAGCACTGATCATCTAGTGTCAAATATTTTACCACTGAAAGGAAGTACTCAACTAGCTAAGTCAGTTAAAGAGGTTCTGAACTGACGAAATTTTTAGACGGATGAAAATTCCTCAAACGATGTACAGCGACACGGCGCTCCTTTAAATAAGCAAAGAATAAGCTCCTCATTTCAATAAAGAAGCTAAAACTCTCTTTCAATATATTAACCGATAAGAAAAGACATGACTAATTTAGGAAAAACAAAGCAGAAGTTTTAAATAAGCCAGTTAAAAGAGGGGGAACATTAGGGTTTACGATACTGCGTATTGGACAATTTTCAATGCCGCATTTCGATAATGTTACTCTTCAGATACAGTATTATGACAGTTTCCAAACCTGAAGGTTGCATTTTGTTAGCGTTTCTGCTGACGATTTTCAGTAAGAAAAACCTTTGTCATTTTCTCGTACTTGTATGCATGGTGTCTGCTCGTATAGGAAAGAGGTTTATGTTCAAAAAAGTAAAACGAACTTTGCTTTCTCTCCGAGGAAACTGCTAGGCCATGACATAACGGTATTAGCTGAACTATTTTTTTTTTTTTGCGATATCGCGGTGTTTATCGATATTTTGCGGCTTTTTTGATGTTGTACCCTCCTCTTTAGCGCTTAACATCTTTTAATTTCTCGACTGACCAGACGCACTTTGATAAGGCAGGTAAAACAGTTTTGTTTAAGTGTGTCAAATCAAGACTTATAAATTTTTTCAACGGTTTACGGTGTGACTTTGTCATAAGTGCACTGGGAAAAGATGAAACGTTTTCAGTTCGAATGATTTTACAAGACAGTTGAAAAACTGTCTCGAACCGTTTCTGGAGTGACTAAATGCGACGTGACTTTCTTGAGAAGATAGAGCAGTAGTTTCTAAGGCATTAAATATATATGCTGAACATGTACTGAGAAGCAATGATATGCTTTTTACACCACATAAGTGTTTGGATGTCTGATCTTAATTAGGATAGTATTTTTATTGTGCGATTGTCTTCGTTTTCTCTTTAGTTTTAGTCTAGCTTGAGAAAACAAATACACAAAGATACACGCTCGAGTCAGGAACCCATTACCCGAAGCCTCCATATCTATTATACCCTTGAGCCAACCCTTTCAACCCTGACGTGATTATATGACTTTTCGAAAACACTCTTCAAACCGGAGTATTTTGAAAACGCTGGCTTGCGTTTTAATGTGGACGGAAAACATTTTGAGAACGGAGCTTTTCAAAAACGATAACGTCGCGATAATCATGTAATTTTCTGTCCGAGATTTCCTCAAACACAAATCCAAAATGACCGGTGATTAAATTGCTGCGGCGTGGTTTGGACCGAAAACATTTGATGCGTTTTCAGTGTGAAAACGCCGTTTTCGAATTCTTCCAGCGTAGTGTGGATGTAGCATTCTTTGGGTTCGTCACGCAATCTTCCCAGCCCAAAGAATGCCTGCGTAGGAGGCTAGTGTCGAGCAAGCGTTACCATACGAAGAGCTTTTCAGCATTCTAGCCGTGCGTAAATAATTGGAGCGAGAACAAAAATCGACAAAGCAGGGGATGGTGGGGCAGGAATCGTCCGGGAATGCTTGTTACGAAGGCCTTAGAGTCCTTGGCTTCGGGCATATGATTACGGAATAAACTATTCATTTTGTCTTTGTTATTAAAATACGGCGCCGTTCATAATAGTGTTTTATCAGTTTCTGTGATTTT